TGCAGAGTTTTTATTTCTATTCAGGATTTAAACAACACCTTTGTCATCAAAGTAGCTATGTCAGCATCAATAACCTGCTGATTATAAATGTATCCTTGGCAGACAGAAAGAGAATTAACCTTTAATGAACAATTGCCATCTGCCAGCACTGTGTAAGGCTACTGATTCTCAGTATTTTGGTGTCAAGGACTCCTCTGAGATTCCTGTAGAAGCTATGAAATCTCTCCCCTAGAAAAATGCAAATGTACACAAAATTTTACATAGAATTACAGGACAACAGTTGTCCTGAGCATAACCACAGACCTTACATTAAAACCCTCTGTGCAAGGTCCTTGTTATTGAGATGGGTATCATCCTCCCCACCTTACAGATGAGGGGACAGGAGGTTCAGGGACATACCCAAAGTCATATTCCTAATAAATTGCAGCCATAGGCTGGGCACAGTGGTTCACATATATAATTACAGCACTTTGGGAGGTTGAGGTGGGCAGGTCACTTAGTCCAGGTGTTCAAGACCAGCCTGGCCAACATGGCAAAACCTCGTCTCTACAAAAAATACAAAAATTAGCTGGGTGTGGTGGTACACACCTGTCGCCCCAGCCACTTGGGAGGCTGAGGTGGGAAGATCACCTGAGCCTAGGAGACAGAGGCTGTAGTGAGCCAAGATCACACCACTGCACTCCAGCCTGGGTGACAGTAAGATGCTGTCTCAAAAAAGAAAAAAAAAAAGATAGCTGCTATAGACTGAATGTTTGAATGCCCACAAACTAATTTTGAAACCTAATCTCCAATGTGATGGTATTAGGAGGTAGGGTCTCTGGAACGAGGGGTCTTTGGGAATGTTTTTGGCAGGGGCCTCATGAATAGGATTACTGCTCCTCTAAAAGAGGCCCCAGAGAGATCCCTCATCCCTTTCACCATGTGAGGTTACAGTGAAGACGGTTGTCTGTGAACCAGGAAGTGAACCCTCAGCAGATACCCACTCTGCTGGTGCCATGCTCTTGGACTCCCCAGACTGCAGAACTGTAAGAAGCCATTTTTTATGCTGATAAGCCACCTAATCTATTGTGTTCTGTTAAAGCAGCTGAAGCCCACTAAGACAGTAGCAGGAACAACATTTCAACATGGGTTGTCTAAACATTATCCCTTCCTGCCTCAGATGAAATCATCATCTAGGTTTTCCTGTTACTGTAACCATCACTCCTTGTTTTTAAATGAAGAAATAAGAATTATGTGAGAAACTGAAATCTATATGAAGCATTCTAGACTCAACCACGGAAAATTAGGGAGCTCAGGATCCCAGAGGCTCCAAATCATACTTCTTATCATCCAAAAGCCCCATTCCTCCTGAACCCACCCACACAGCTAAACACAAGCCAAAGAGAAGCCTTTCTAGAGGCTTTACTTTCCTCAGAACAAGAGGAAAAAAACTCTCTTCAAAATCAGCAGCCAAAGTGTGAACTAATAGACCAGTCAAAGCCTCTGGATATGAAACAAAAAAAAAATTTTTTTTAATTTCAGAATATTACAAGAATATAAAAGAAAGATAATGCATAGGATTGTTTCTTTACAATTACATACATATAGTCAAGTAAGAATGAAAAATTTAAACCAAACAGTTAAGAAACCTTGTTTCTCTTGTTTAGCAAGCTCAGGGATAGGACAAAGGCAACCCTTGCTCTGCAGAAAGAACCCTGGGGTGAGGGAATATTTCCCCCAAACAGGCTCTGTCTGTCCCCAGACATGGCCAGGGGAGGGCTCCATGGCTCTTTAGAACAGGCTGTGGCCTCACACACTCCAGTCTCCATGGTAACCCAAGCACTCAGGCTACTGTGTCCCACTCCTCCTCGCTAGCCTGCTCCCTTCAACTCTACGCTGGTAGAAAGATCTCAGCATTAGCTGTCTATGGAAGCTAACTTCCTACAGTGAGTTTTAGTTGTGTTAATCAACACTGCTATCAAAAGCTTGTGCATCTTAGGAACCCAACTCTTCCCCAAATTCTAGACAATCCCACAAAATGCTGGTATCTAGGTTTAGACTTAGGTCCTATCTTCCATTTGAAGGCTTCAGGGTAAAGGAGGACAGGGATGAGGCTCTCTCCTAGGGAAAGGAGTTCTACACAGAATGACTTCAGAATGGGGCCCATTAGCCTCAAGCATCTATGTGAGGCCTTGTAGGAAAGGAGACAGAGTCTAGAGCATCTATTCCTAAAAATCACACAGCTGCATGGCCAGTCACTGTGGGGCATGGTCCCAATGACCACAGGTTCTCCTAGAAGGCAGTATTTTCAACCGCATGCTAACATAGCCTCCTGTGGGGAAAGCTGAAAAAAAATATTTCTACTCAGGAAGAGAGAATGGCTCTGCTCTGACAGTCTAGGATCGACTGCTTCCTTACAGGTCAACAGAACAGATACCTCTGAGGCACCCAGGTGTCACTGCAGTCAACAGCCCTCCACTAGCCCATTTCCCAAGGGTGTTCCCTTGTCCTTCCTGAGTGACTCTGGAAGGACATTCTGGGTAAAGAGCTTTCCTTTGTGGAGGATCAACTGTAGTTATGATTACAATTCATTACCTGCTCCTTTTTTTAGTTTATTACCTGCTCCTATTTTGGCACTCAGGTACAAAGCTAACTTCCTACAGGGAGTTTTAGTTGAGTTAATCACCATTGCTGTCAAAAGCTTGTGCATCTCTCCTGATACTCTTTCACTGCTGCAGCAGAGTTTTTCACACCAGATTTACTGGTCCCAATGCAAAAAGTTTATCATTGTGAAAGGTGAGAAACTCCAGTTCTCACTAATTCAGCTAGTGGAGTTCACACAGTGCAGTCTGAATCAGGGAGGCGGTTGAACATACGCAAATGAACTTGCTAATAAGTTTTTAAAAATGACACAAAGCTACTCTAGAGAAAGGGGCTGTTAAGCAATTTTGTTTTCCTAACCAGATACAGTTTCATGTATGTATCCCTCTGGCACAAACACAATGCCCCATACTGATACCACATCAAAGCCCATCACAGGTGACCCCAGAAAGAAATGAAGTTGTAAAAGCCACAGGAAGAGGTACTTCCAAAGAGACTGTTCCAACATGAAAAATAAACACAATGAAATAGATTCAAAAAAAATCTTATAGATGAAAAAATTCTGTTAAATACTGGCTCAAAAAAATACCTGCCCACCAAATCAGAAGGGAGACAGCAGCCTTCTGTGGCAAATGATTAAAAGGAGTTTTGTCTGCGTTTTCCATAAGATTCCACAGGATTAGAGTAATTACATATCACAAGGTAGAAGGCTATGCTGCTTACTCCTCAAATTTGGATTCTAAGTCAATCACAGCTTCTATTTAGAAAAATGACCTAAAAATCCCTAAGGCAAGGGAAAATATATTCAATAAATAAACAAAACACACATAAACTGCCCAAGGAGACCAGCTATATAAAGGCATGTGCATGTGGTAAACATCTCTCTCACCACCCTCACCCTAGAACACAACCCTTGCTTACTGATTCCATTCACCCAAAGAGCATCTACACTCGTCTAAATCTCAGCTACTTCCCTCAAATAGAACCAAAAACTAACGCAATGACAAGGAGCTATTAGATCACCACTCTGCTCCCTCTACCCATGTTTAAAAGACCACAGCATCACTTCAAGATGAAACACGTGTAAATAAATAAAGGAAGGAAGAGTTAAGAGAGAACACGATTTCAATTTGGTGATACCAAAAGGGTTTCCTGTCTGAATTAACAATATCTGGTATAAGGGATTTCACTTTCTTAATAAGAAAAAAATAGTCAAATATTTAATAGAAACATACGCAAATGAACTTGCTAATAAGTTTTTAAAAATGACACAAAGCTACTCTAGAGAAAGGGACTGTTAAGCAATTTTGTTTTCCTAACCATCTATTGTTCACACTCTATTAAATTGGAAGACCAAATTTTACATTTTTCTCCACTATTGCTGTTACATCAGCAAAAGCAGCAGAAAGGCTGGCAGAGAGGGCTGCCAGCTGGGCACAAGGCCAAACTCTGCTCCCCCAGAGTTCTCTCTCATTTCGGCAATAGCGCAGCATACTCAACAGCTTAGAAATAGGTCAGAAAACCACATTTTGTGGGACAACTGCTTCCCTATAGTTGCCTGACTCGGCTCCAACCCACAGGGTGAGAAGGGTTGTACAGCTCCACAGAGCCAGGCAGCATTCTCCCTGCCACATGCTCCTCTCTGGGCAGAAACCAGTTCCTACGAGGTCAAAGCCAGGCCACTGCTCCCTCCAACATATGTGAACACCACCAAATCCAAAAGCCAAAAGTTCTGGCCCCACCTGTGCCCCTTCTGACAAGGAGAGGGCAGCACAGTAACACTCCTTGAACACTGGTGACAAGCCACAGCTGCTTCCAAATAAGAACATTCTCTCCTTTAAATCCTGTCAGCCCTGCAGAGGCTGCTGCTTGCTTCTTTCTTCAGGAGACGGTCTAGACTGCACCATCAGAGAGTACACTATAATCCCACCCATAAAGAGTCATCCTGGGACATACAGGCAGCCAGCCCCCTCCCAGGCACATTCCAGAGCTTCCCCCACATACAGATATTTCAGCAAACTTCTAATGTGCTGTCGGGGACTTTTCTTGAGTCACAGTGATTTGGTTCACAAGTACTACGTTGGCATCGCAGATGTCTTAGTTAAGAGGAAACTGAATGAAGGTAACAAGTTGAGCAGAACACAATTATTTTCACATCACTGGCGAAAGGGGGAGAGAGATGGACAAGGGAGGGAAAAATGAAGGGAAGGAAGGAGAAGAGTTTAATAATTACGATTTGTTAGAATATTATATTATCCTGAATTCTCCTGTTTCAATACTGCAGGTCAAATACTCTTTGATGTCAGACCCAAGAAAAAGTAAAAAATGTCCAGGAAAGCTATAAATTCTTTGGACACAAATTAGGTATTGAGGAATACAGCCTCATAAGATAAAGAGTTTTCCCAAAGCTCAAAGTGAAAAAGTGGGAAAGGCACCTAGCTTGGAGTCCATCCAAAAACATGGCTTTTAAAACAAAGAAATAAACGAACAAAAACAACCAAATACCCAACACTATCAAAACAGAGAAAACCCCAAAATATCCATTAAAAATAAGATCAATCCACTAGGATTGACAGTGCTTTTTAAAAAATTACTGGCAGCTGAGCACACATTTCCTATTTTTTTCAAAAGCGCAATCTGCCTAAACACACTGAATGAGCACAGAGCCCACCTTAGTGTGCTGTATAAGCTGGTTGGATAGTTAGTGGTTTCCCCATAATATTAACAAAGAGAAAGAGAACCTAAGCACTCTCTCAGAAGGCACAGCTTGCAAACATCATCCAGTGAGCGGGATTAGAGGTATCAGTCGGGTCATGGTATTAGTTGGCTTTCACAATTCAAAATGCAGCAACCAAGCTGCAAGTCCAAGCTTCGCTGTGGCAGGAATAATACCTGGCCCACTAAAGAGAAAATTCTGCGTGGACCATAGGAGAGAACTCTGGATCCTTCAGAGGAATCCTAGGTTGAAGGAAAAACAAGAGCATTAGACATGTTCTTAAATATTTCTTTTTGCAAACATCCCACCCAAAAGCTACAGGATCTACACTTAATATTTTCTCCAAACTGAGGATTCATTAATCCTCAGTCACAAATTCCGAATTTGTGACTCTACCAAATAAACATTTGCCTGATCTGATCTCATTCATTAAATCATCTTAATGGCTATAACAGCTAATAGTAAGTGCATATTTTGTGGTGCTCTAAGAATTTTTTTGGGGGGCAGGAGGATGGAGTCTTGCTCTGTCACCCAGGCTGGAGTGCAATGGTATGATCTCAGCTCACTGCAACCTCCGCCTCCCAGGTTCAAGAGATTCTCCCACACGTGGCAAATTTTTGTATTTTTAGTAGAGACGGGGTTTCACCATGTTAATCAGGCTGGTCTTGAACTCCTGACCTCAGGTGATTGCCCACCTCAGCCTCCCAAAGTGCTAGGATTATAGGCATGAGCCACCGCACCGGGACTCTAAGTTCTTTATGTACATTATTTCATTTATCCTCACAATAAGCAGTATATGAGACACTACTCTTACCAATTTACAGAGAAAGAACCTGCAGACTACACAGTTCACTTGCCTGAGGACTAATTTTTAGCTAGTAAGCAGCAAAACTGGGAATGGAACCCAAACCCAACTGAAGGCAGAACTCACGCTGTGAGTGAAACAAGACCAAGCTGCAAAGAGGCAGGAGAAGCAAGAGCAGAAAAGAGCAGAGAACTTAAGATAGACCCTTGAAAAAAATAAAGATGTAGTAGAATAGGCAAACAACAGTAAGCCACTGCAAATAAGAAAAAGAGTTAAAGAGGAAGAAGGAGAACAAGAGTAATGTAGCACCATAACACCAAGGAAAGCATTTCCAGATACAGGAAGTGACCAGGACAGAGTAAAGTGAAAGTGCCATTGCTTGATCCAATTGAGGGTCTTTAGCTCGACTTCTCTGAACTACTAACATTTTTGAGGGTCTGATTAGAACTATATATTCTCGCCCCCAGAAATATACAAATATGCACCTACATAAAAGATTGCACCAACAATACCAGGAACTGTATTAGACCATTTAGGAAGTCCACAGATGACAGGTCAAGAATCCCTGCTCTAACACTTATTGGTGAAATGTTAAACTGGTTTTTTAAAAAATATCTTTCTTTCTTTCCAAGGTAGAGTTGTCAATACAAAAAGATATTATTTCTGGATGCCTTTCAAAAATGAAAGCAACAAAAGGTGTAGCTGATACAAAACAACTTAGCCTTCAAAAATAACTTATGTTTAGTTTTGATTCATGGACACACAGAAATATTTAGACACAAAAAACTCAAACACTGATCCTGTCTCAATTAGATAGCCCAGCCTAGAAGACAAAAGCAAGGAGAAAAGAAAAGAGAGCTTAGATAATTCATTCAAGGATAAGTAAGAAGACGATACTGAAATCTCATTTTCCAGAAAAGAATTTATCCATAAGGATTAGGCTTTTGTTCTCTTTCTATTGCTGATGTCTCAAATAGTAATTATGCTCATATTCCAGCGATAAGATGATCATGTCAAACCATACATCACTTCAGCTGCCACATAAGCCTTACATAACAAGACCAAGTGTCATCCGGTTTTCTATAGTAACAACTATAACCACTTATTAATGCTTTAACAATTACAAAGTGCTGCCAAAACATTATTTCAATGGAGCCTCATAATAAATTAATAAATCTGTGAAGTAGATGTAACTTTTATCCTCATTTTCATAGAAGAAAACTTGAGTTCAGAGAGAATACGTGGTTTTCCTGGGTCAGAAGAATGATAACTCCAATCAGGACTAACCACAAATCTCACGGCCTTTCCATGGACCCACTTGGCTCCTTCAGAGGAAGGCACAGCAGCCTTTTACAAGAAGAGCCTGGGACAACCAGCAGTCCCAGCATTAAATGGTCTTTGTCCTCAACAGCCCTCAAAATGTGCTGTATGATATGACTTCCAGGATCCTTAGGCGTGAGCTGTTGATCTGGAAAGCTTCACTAATTAAGACTAGCCTACACAGAAAAGGAACCTGACTATTCCATAAGCATACTCCCAGCACTGTTATACTTGGTTCCACGAATTCGTTTACATTTGTTTTTAATTTGCTTTGCAAGTATTCTTAAGGTATTTTCCCCATGTGTCCTGCCTGTCCAAGAACTCAGGGACCATGTGTGTCTGTATTCACAGCTCTTCCCCTTAGCACCCAAGACAGTGCTAAGTAGATGGCTCAATAACTATCTGGTGAATGAACTCAAGGGCAAGGATCTGGCCTTGTAATTTTTATGTCACTTCTGACTACAAATGTACTATCCTGGGAATTCAAACAAATGCTACTGACTAGATGCAAAAAGGAATTACATTTAGTAAGAACATAGAGTAAGTACAATTAGTACCTTTTTTCCCCTCTTTCTTTCCTTCAGACCACTTCAATCTTGTTGGTGTCATTGTGACAGCTGGAGAGCCAGAAAATAACTGAAATAAGAAAATCATACAGTGGTTTCAATGTTCTAAAGGCATTCCTATAAACAGACTTTACTAACAAAGTAATTATTTACTTGTTCAATTTCAACGTCAAGAGTTTTTCTGAGACTGATGTATTTATATCTCATTAATCTTAACTGATTTACTACCGGCTGAATGAAGTAGGCATGCCTAGGATATCTTGAAGCACCACCCCACAGGTAATGTAGAGCCAAGGAGGCCTGGTTCAATGTCACCTGCCTGTGGAGTCTCCCAGTAAAAACTAACTGCTTCCTCCAGCACTTGTTTAAGGAACTACTATACTGTACTACTCATCTGCTTGTGACTAGTGATATCCTTCTTGAACTCAAAATGTGTTTGTCTGCTGAATGAATCAATGAAAACCAACAGAAAAAAGGTAGCACAAATGAAAGGATTGAGAAAAAGCCATTTGAATGGCACAAAGAAACACAGTAAAACAGATGACAGTATGTCAATTTTCCTCTTTTCTACAAATACATACACAAAGACAGACAGTCCAAAGAACAGTGACTTACTAAGTTCATATTTTCTTTGCTGGCTCCCTTCAATTCACCAAGGGCTACAGATTCTGGAGTAGGGTTCTTCTTTTTCTTTTCTGACATCATCTGATTTCCCAGGACCTTCCGCTGATTTAAGAACAGAAAACATTTGATTGATAAACATTTACTGTATCTATAGTGGAGCTATACTAGCCTTCAAAACTATAATGTCCATAGGTTAAAAAAATCTCAGCATTCTGAAAATTCTGTATGGATCCTCTCAGGCCATCTTATACAAGACAGGCCAAAGCATGTTACCAAAAAAAACCAAAATCATTACTTTTGTTTAAGTAATCAGTTTTCCTCCACATTTAAAAGGGCTGAAATGTTAGAAGTAACTTTATAATTTATTTAAACAAGCTAATAGGTCAATTACAGTGTGCTTCTGAGACGAGTTACTCACCATATAGAAATACCAGTTACTGACCATGTAATTTTTTCCCCAAAATTGTGCTGCCTCTGGCAACTATTTAAAAAGTCCTTCCCCCCACTCACCACTAAGGGATACTTAGGCTGGCTCTTCTCTAAGATACTTTTTCCACCCTGTCACTTCCTCACACAGGACTGGAACATTCGGAGACATTCTCTAAGAGTTCCTAATAAAGCCACAAGAAGGTAGAGGCCTTCTTAAGAGGGTCACATGACTATACTGACATGTAAAGCAACACTAAAAGCCCTTTCATCTCTGAACAGCTTGGAAGATGATGTAATTTACGTAACCGCTGACAGTGACAATTCTACCATCTTTGGAGAAATCTTTCCTTATTTTCCCTTAGAGAATAAATTTGAATTCCAAAAAAAGAACATCTCAAAACTAGAACATTAAACCCTACATTATAAATACTAGCAGCAATATTCAGAACATTCTGATTTAATAAATAATTGACATGAGAGAAGTTCTGGAGGAAAAACCTCTAACCAAAAAAGGGATCGAGATAGGCTAGATGGTCAATTATACCTTGATAAGGCTGAGGGAAAACACAAATTAAAAATAATATTTTAGTCCAGGCACAGTGGCTCATGCCTGTGATCCCAGCACTTTGGAAGGCCAGGAGTTCGAGACCAGCCTGGTCAATATGGTGAAACACTGTCTCTACTAAAAATACAAAAATTAACCAGGTGTGGTGGCACATGCCTATAATCCCAGCTACTCAGGAGGCCAAAGCATGAGAATCACTTGAACCCAGGAAATGGAGGTTGCTGTGAACTGAGACCATGCCACTGCACTCCAGTCTACACAACACAGTGAGACTCTATCTCACAAAATAAATAAATAAATAAAAAGACTAACACATAGAGAAACATTTATCTGACTATAACTTTTCTGATTATCAATCATCTCTATGACAGGGAAGTCAGAGGGAATGACAGATTCTTCCAACTGAAAAGAAAAAAAAAGAGAGTAAACTAAGAATGTTCATTTTACTAGCTCTAAGTAGGTAAATGCACTTTTAGAATTCTAGTTAAGAGAACTTTTTTTAACAACGATAAAATATACATAACATTTACCATTTTACCCATTTTTAAGTATACAGTTCAGTGGTATTAAGTATATTCACAGTGTTGTGCAACCATCACCATCAATCATCTTCAGAACTTTCTCATCCTCCCAAACAGAAATACTGTACCCATTAAATAACATCTCCCCATTCTCCTCAAACTCTTAGCTCCCCTGACAACCAACCACCTTCTCTACTTTCTGTTTCTATGAACTTGACTTGGAGGTAACTCAGTGGAATCATAAAATATTTTTCCTTTTATGACTAGATGATTTCTCTTAGCATAATGTCTTCAAGATTCATCCATGTTGTAGAATATGTCAGAATTTCCTTCCCTTTTAAGGACAAATAATGTTCCCTTATCTGTATATCCAAATTTTGTTATCCATTCATCTGTCAATAGACAGTTGAGTTGCTTCTGCCTTTTGGCTATTGTGAATAATGCTGCTATGAATACAGGTGTATGAATATTGCCTCGAGACCCTGCTTTCAATTCTTTTGGGTATACACTAGGAGTATAGTGATGCTGAACATCTTTTCATGCATTTCTTGGCCACATGTACATCTTCTCTGGAGAAATGTCTATTTAAGTCCTTTGCCCACTTTCTTTTTCTGGAGACAGAGTCTCGCTCTGTCACCCAGGCTGGAGTGCAGTGGCGCAATCTCAGCTCACTGCAACCTCCGCCTCCTGGATTCAAGCGATTCTCCTGCCTCAGCCCCCAGAGTAGCTGGGACTACAGGTATGTGCCACCACGCCCGGCTAATTTTTTGTTTCAGTAGAGATGGGGTTTCATCGGGTTAGCTAGCATGGTCTCAATCAGCTGACCTCATGATCCGCCCACCTCAGGCTCCCAAAGTGCTGGGGTTACAGGTGTGAGTCACCATACCCAGCCTTTAGCTACTTTTTAATGAGGTTGCTTTTACTGCACTGAGTTATAGTTCTTTGGATTATTATGGATATTAATACCTAATCATATATACGATTTGCAAATATTTTCTCCCATTCCAGGGGTTGCTTTTTCACTCTGTTGTTGGCAAAGGAAATTTTGATATCAAGTAAGCCTAATGTCCTAGAAGCTACTGGCCCAGGAAGTCAGGATTAAGAATGAATTCTAGATATCTATAAATTATAACTAGGATCAAAATTACAGTAAGATGAATTTTTAAATGCTGACAGCTGTACCTTAAAAAAAAAAAATTATAGGCACAGTGGCTCACATCTGTAATCCCAGCACTTTAGGAGACCAAAGCAGGAAGATCGCTTGAGCCCAGAAATTCAAGACTAGCAACACAGGTTGGGCATGGTGGCTCATGCCTGTAATGCCAGCACTTTGGGAGGCCAAGGCAGGCGGATCACCTGAGGCCAGGAGTTCGAGACCAGCCTGGCCAACATAATGAAACCCCATCTCTACTAAAAATACAAAAAATTAGCCAGGTATGGTGGCGGGCACCTGCAATCCCAGCTACTTAAGAGGCTGAGGTGGAAGAATCACTTGAATCATGGAAGTGGAGGTTGCAGTGAGGTGAGATCATGCCACTGCACTCCAGCCTGAGGGACAGAGCAAGACTCTGTCAAAAAAAAAAAAAAAGGCCGGGCACGGTGGCTCAAGCCTGTAATCCCAGCACTGTGGGAGGCCGAGGCGGGTGGATCACGAGGTCAAGAGATCGAGACCACCCTGGTCAACATGGTGAAACCCCGTCTCTACTAAAAATACAAAAAATTAGCTGGGCATGGTGGTGCATGCCTGTAATCCCAGCGACTCAGGAGGCTGGGGCAGGAGAATTGCCTGAACCCGGGAGGCGGAGGCTGTGGTGAGCCGAGATTGCGCCATTGCACTCCAGCCTGGGTAACAAGAGCGAAACTCCGTCTCAAAAAAAAAAAAAAAAAAAAAAAAAAACCAGCAACACAGCAAGACTCCATCTCTACAAACAGTTTTTTGTTGTTGTTGTTTTGAGACAGAGTTTTGCTCTTGTTGCCCAGGCTGGAGTGCAATGTTGCAATCTCAGCTCACCGCAACCTCTGCCTCCTGGGTTGAAGCAATTCTCCTGCCTCAGCCTCCCAGATAGCTGGGATTATAGGCATGCACCACCACAGCCGGCTAATTTTGTATTTTCAGTAGAGACGGGGTTTCTACTGGTCAGGCTGGTCTCAAAATCCCGACCTCAAGTGATCTGCCCACCTTGGCCTCCCAAAGTGCTGGGATTACAGGCATGAGTCACCACGCCCAGTCTACAAACATTTAAAAATCACCTAGGCATGATGGCATGCACTTGTGGTCCCAGCTACTTTGGAGACTGAAGTAGGAGGATCGCTGAGCCCAGGGGATCAATGCTACAACAAGCCATGATGGTGCCCCTTGTACTTCAGCCTGGGCAACAGAGCAAGACCCTGTCTCAAAAATAAATAAATAAATATTACAAGTTATTTATTTTTTAGGGCAAAAATTTTAAGCTCCTTATGTTCCTGGAATTATATATCTTAGTAATGACAAAACAATTAAAAAAAAAAAAAGCAGTGTGAAACACCAAAAATTAAAATAAAAAGAAGCCATTATCCTCAGCAAACTAACACAGGAACAGAAAACCAAATACTGCATGTTCTCATTTATAAGTGGGAGTTGGCCGGGCATGGTGGCTCAGGCCTGTAATCCCAGCACTTTGGGAGGCTGAGGCAGGTAGATCACTTGAGGTCAGGAGTTTGAGACCAGCCTGGCCAACATGGTAAAACCCATCTCTACTAAAAATACAAAAATTAGCCAGGCATGGCAGCAGGCACCTATAATCCCAGCCACTTGGGAGGCTGAAGCAGGAGAATAGCTTGAACCTGGGAGGCTAAAGTTGCAGTGAGGTGATATGAAGCCACTGCACTCCAGCCTGGACAACAGAGGAAGATGCCGTCTCCAAAAAAAAAAAAAAGTGGGATCTAAACAATGAGAACACATGGACACAGGGAAGGGAACAACACATACTGGGGCCTGTTGGGGGGGTTGGATGGCAGAAAGGAGAGTATTAAGAAAAACAGCTGGCCAGATACAGTGGCTTACACCTGTAATACCAGTCCTTTGGGAGGCTGAGGCGGGCAGATCACTGAGGTCAGGAGTTCAAGACCAGCCTGGCCAATATGGTGAAACCCCCTAAAAAGACAAAAATTAGCCAGGCTTGGTGGCAGGCACCTGTAATCCCAGCCACTTGGGAGGCTGAGGCAGAAGAATTGCTTGAACCTGAGAGGCGGAGGTTACAGTGAGCCAACACTGTGTCATTGCACTCCAGCCTGGGCGACAAGAGTGAGACTCTGTCTCAAAAAAAATTTTTAAAGAAAAATAGCTAATGCATGCTGGGCTTCATACCTAGGTCATGGGTTGACAAGTGCAGCAAACCACCATGGCACACATTTACCTATATAACAAACCTGCACATCCTGCACATGTACCCCAGAACTAAAATAAAAAATAAATAATAAATAAATAAAATAAAATAAAAGATACTCAGTGCTTTTGGGGCAGCAATCTCTTCCAAAAAAGAAAAACAGAAAAGAAAAGCAGCGAATAGTACTAATCTCTCTCCAAGTTAACCAAAACCTTGCCTTAGTTCATGCATGGAAATTTTAGCCTCATGAGCAAGTTACCTACTGCCACCTGATGGCAATATTCCTTCACTACAAGTTCCAATAGTCCAAAGATTTGTACATTTAATCTGCAAACATGGTAATAGAAGCAATAACATGAAAGCATATTTTTGTATTTGTTTTAAAAACAAGACTTTTACTGAATTTGATACATGGAAGAAAGTACAACAACTGTTAAAAATATTAAGCTCACAAAAATTTGGGGTATCAAAACTCACTAGCCTATTAGAAAATCCGGTTTTCTAACAGTTTCTCTAGTCTGTCTCAGCTTCCTCACTTCTTCAAGGTTTAGCAAAATTGGATCAAGAAGGGTGTAACTCAAAGCAGGTCAGAAAACAAAAGAGACCCCTTACACTGCTCAGGAATATGGACATTGTCCTCAGCCCTAGAAGAAAAGGAAGGACCCTTACTTCTATTACTTCTCACTTCATAGAGCCCCTTCTCTGATTTGAAAAACAGCAAAGCACTTTGAAAAATAAAGGCCGGCCCCATGGCTCACACCTGTAATCCCAGCACTTTGGGAGGCCAAGGCAGGTGGATTACCTGAGGTCAAGAGTTCCAGACCAGCCTGGCAACATGGTGAAACCCTGTTTCTACTAAAAATACAAAAAATTAGCCAGGGATGGTGGCACGCACCTATAACCTCAGCTACTTGGGAGGCTGAAGCAGGAGAATTGCTCAAACCTGGGAGGCGGAGATTGCAGTGAGCCAAGGTTGCACCATTGCACTCCAACTTGGGCAACAAGAGTGAAACTCAATCTCAAAAAAAAAAAAGAAAAAAGAAAAAGAAAAGCTTTTCCACATTCTGTCTTTACCCTCTTATAAATTAGCCCTTTATAGCTTTGCACAGTGGCAGTATCATAGCCAATGAGGTTTATCCAAGGCATGATTATTGCTCATTGAAAACTTTTCCTAATACCCCACCATGATGACTTGAAATATAGTCGGCGTTGGCAATTTTTGGCAGTCTCTAAGGAGACTGAATCATAAAAAAAAAAAAAAAAAAAAAAAAAAAAAAAAAAAAAAAAAAAAAAAAAAAAAAGAGTAGCCCTTTATAGGATTCTCCCCTCAAAAAAAATACACGAAAACTGTTTATGCATTTAAAAATCACACTGTTACATTTCCTAAAACTCAATGCTAAAAACAACAGCCCAGAATACCTACCTTAATAAGCCCACTGAAGGAGCGTGAACGGGCCCTCTTTTGTACCTGGTAAGTAGAAGGTTCTCGCCCTGGTGTCTGGGTCAGTGATTGCTTATTAAACTAAAAGAAAACATAAACAACATTTATAAATATTTTCCCAACAGGGCATAGCATTCTGTGACAAACAATAGCTAAGTGTAAATAAAAGTCCAGGAAAAAGTAAGCCTGCACATAGGTAGATTAGGAAGTCAACAAGCAAATCACAAAGTCAGAAGCGATGATGCCAAAATGGATTCAATTGCTCTGAGAGGCTCTGCACGCCACATTCCTTGAATGTGGAATTACTGTTCCTATTTTACAGACCAAAAAACTGAGACTTTGGTCAGGCGCAGTGGCTCACGCCTGTAATCCCAACACTATGGGAAGCCAAGGCGGGTGGATCACCTGAGGTCAGGTGTTCGAGACCAGCCTGACCAACATGGAGAAACTCCATCTCTACTAAAAGTACAAAATTAGCCTGGCATGGTGGCGCATGCCTGTAATCCTAGCTACTTGGGAGGCTGAGGCAGGAGAATCGCTCAAACCCGGGAGGTGAAGGTTGCAGTGAGCCGAGATTGCACCATTGCACTCCAGCCTGGGCAAGAGGAACAAAGCTCTGTCTCAAAAAAAAAAAAAAAAAAAAAAAAAAAAAAAAAAAAAAAAAAACTGAGACTTGGAGAGCTTATGAAATCTACCCAAGATCCCCAGCTGCTAACCAAGACTTCTTTGCAACGAAGCATCTTGGACACAGAGTTACTGGCACAATCTAAAACAGTTCCTAATATAACACAAACTGTATACAGAATCTTTTTAAGTTACTATCTGTTACGACTGCCTGCCAACAATATCATCAGAGGAAATACACCAGAATGCAGACCTGTCACGCTATCAATTTCTCTGGAGGTATCTAAAGTAGAAAACGGGAAGCCCCAATGTACTAAATAATCTTACTCAATGCTTTGATTAGCTATTCATTTCCCACTTAAAAAGTACTAATAATACAACATTTAATTCTTCTACTTTTCTGCCTTTTGTTTTGCTATTGATCTTTTTTTTATTTTTATTTTTTGGAGACACAGTCTGACTCTGCTACCCAGGCTGGAGTGCAGTGGCACGATCTCGGTTCACTGCAACCTCCACCTACAAGAGTTCAAGCGATTCTCATGCCTCAGCCTCCTGAATAGCTGATATTATAGGTGTGCACCACCACACTCAGCTAATTTTTTCTATTTTAGTAGAGATGGGGTTTCACTGTGTTGGTCAGTCTGGTCTCAAACTCCTGGCCTAAAGTGATCCACCCACTTCATCATCCCAAAGTGCTAGGATTACAGGCATGAGCCACCACACCCAGCCTCTTCTGCCTTTTCTTATTATGCTTTTAAAATTTCAGTTTTGTAAAAATTTGGGGCCAGGAGAGGTGGCTCACACCTATAATTCTGGCACTTTGGGAGGCCAAGGTGGGCTATTTAAAAAAATTTTTTTAAATAGCCGGGCACGGTGGCTCAAGCCTGTAATCCCAGCACTTTGGGAGGCCGAGGCAGGTGGATCACGAGGTCAAGAGATTGAGACCATCCTGGTCAATTTGGTGAAACCCCGTCTCTACTAAAAATACAAAAAATCAGCTGGGCACGGTGGCGCGTGCCTGTAATCCCAGCTACTCAGGAGGCTGAGGCAGGAGAATTGCCTGAACCCAGGACGCGGAGGTTGCGGTGAGCCGAGATCGTGCCATTGCACTCCAGCCTGGGTAACAAGAGGGAAACTCCGTCTCAAAATAAATAAATAAATAAATAAATAAAGATTAAAAATAAATAAATAAATAAAATAAAAACAAAGTTAGCTGCGTGTAGTAGTGCATGTCTGTAATTTCAGCTACTTGGGAGGCTGAGGCAGAACTGCTTGAACTCAGGAGGCAGAGATTGCGGTGAGCCAAGATCACCCCATTGCACTCCAGCCTGGGCAACAAGAGCGAAACTCCATCTCAAAAAAAAAATTTGGAAATTTTATCAGTTCAAGTTCTGGAGGTTAAAAAATTACTTTTATATAAAGGTACCAAGAGGTTCTAAAGTTAATTACCTTGGCAGGCAGAAAAATTAACCACATCTAAAGAGCTTAGCTAGTAAATATCCCTACTGAACACATTGGGACAAGTAAAAACCCATCGTTCCTAATATTGGCAAGGGTACAATAAGGTAAATTCTCTCATATGCAACTCAAGGGAGTTTTAACTGGCAAAATGTTCTGGGAAGGTATTTAGCAAGGTGTATCCAGAGTCTTTTAAAAATGCATATTAAAAAGTACATGACACTAAAAATATGAAAAATTAGCCAGGCATGGTGGCATGCACCTGTAGTCTCAGCTACTTGAGAGGCTGAGGTGTGAGGATCATGATCACCTGAGCCCAGGGAGGTTGAGGCTGCAGTGAGCCATGCTTGTGCCACTGCACTCTAGCCTGGGCAACAGACTCAAAAAAAAAAAAAAAAAAAAAGTATACACCACATACTTTCTGTTTTTCTAAAAACTGCAAAATGTTTTTTTCTTTCTTATCTTTAAGTCTCAGTGTTCTTGTTGAAAGAAGCCATTATACCTGTCCTACATGAAATTACTTAGCTGCTATCAAGAATTAAATCACTAGACTGGTTTGGATCTGCACCAATACTCAGCCAACACCCTGTAAAATTCCAGTTGTAACACAGTTTGCTAGGTCTCAAAGTAACTTCAAAGAGAGTGGCAGAAACTTCTCTTAAATGACTTTGTCAATTCTTAAGAAAAGCTCAGTTCACCATTATCTGAGTACTTGTTTATACCTGGCCTTATGCTGAGAGTAGGTATGAAATAAGTAAAAGCAGACTCTTCCCCAAGAAAGTCCCAGTTGAATAAAAAGTCAAGACGCTGACCCTGCCCGTTCAGGTAAAATTCTAAAAGGGCTGAGACAAAATTAATCTCCTGAGAAAGAAACTACCCAAAGTCACAGGACTTACATACCACACTTTGAATCCCAAAATAGCAAATTTTGTTCCCATAGCTCCAGGATAAACAAACTTAGCCACAGAATTCCTACTTTCTAGTATCAGACTAGGGCCCTGATTTATTGTTTTCTAACTGCAAACAACTCTGTTAATAAAAAGCTACCAGTTAGGGTTTGCTATGCCAGCCACCCTATATAGATTACCTCTAATTTTTACAACTATGAAATATTCATGTTACTATTACCATTTTACAAACAAGAAAACTGAAACTCATAAAAGTTATTTGCTAAGAAAATCTGGAGGGTTTACACTTTGGAATAATATATTGTAACTGCTGGTCCTCTCTCAGCAAACCTGGGACATGACCAAAATTAGAGACACTCTAACCATACTTGGATTCTCCTGTTAACTGCAGAAATGCAAGAGCCTCCACTCCTTTCTCTACTGGAGCAATAGCACAGAGATCGCCGTGGAGGTTCCATAGACAAGCCTGCTTTCTTGGCTAAGCCAAAAATTAAATGAGATTCTTAACAATATGGCTTACTGATTCTACAACCACGATTACATTCCTAAAGCCCCATTCATGACTTCCCTGCCTTCAGGCACCTGTCTAATAAGTTGTTTCTTCTTTGCTGACTCTGGCATATTGTGAACATGTTGAAACAGCTCTCTCAGTGCCTCTTCCGTATGCTGCTGGGTCTCCTCCTGGTGAGGGCAGGAATCTATCCAGTTCCGCTTCTGAGACTTTGACAGCTGAAAGGACTTAGTATGACATGAAGCTATCAGGTCAAGGTCGTCCTAAAGAAAATTTAAAAGAGTAAATTAATATATCCTGCCAACTTTGTTTTAGGGTTCTTACAAAAACCTGGAACAAAAAAAGGGAGAGTGGAGATATGGTATACTCCTATACTCAGGGACAAGAAAAATCTTAACACTATTAACAGACAACAAGGAACCTATTAATATAGGTTATATTAATAGCCCACTCCCATGGCCTGCCCAGAAAACCTAAGTGCATTTATAATACTGCCACCAAGAGTAATATGTGTATAAGAGTTCAGTTTTAAAAGCATCTTTTAATTTCATTAATTTTCACTGCTATTCAACAAGGTAAGTAGGGAAAGTATCCTGATTCCCATCTGACAGAGGAGAAAAAAACTGAGGTTAAACTTTAAGTTTAAAGTCATCTGAGGCCGGGTGCGGTGGCTCACGCCTGTAATCCCAGCACTTTGAGAGGTCAAGGCAGGCCTGACCAAAGGAGGTAGGGAGTTTAAGACCGGCCTGACCAACATAGAGAAATACTGTCTCTACTAAAAATACAAAATTAGACTGGCGTGGTAGTAGATGCCTATAATCCCAGCTGCTCAGGAGGCTGAGGCAGGCAGATTGCCTGAACCCAGAAGGCAGAAGTTGCGGTGAGCCGAGATCACGCCATTGCACTCCA